TCCTGAAAATGAAGGGAGTATCAAAAGACTTAAGCCCTACACATCTTCTAAAAGTGCTTTCAGTTCAGAGACATAAAGATAGAGAATAGCCAGAAAAGAGCTAAAAGTGGGTAAAGCAATATTCACACGCTCTCCCAGTCTCTCATACAGAGACGTCCAAGTCGGTGCACGTGCAGCATGTGCGTGCAAGGTTCATATCCACAAAGCTAGACTAATACTTAGTCTCTGAATATATATAATTTTGATAGTAACAAACAAGCCCATTTAAATTGAAAAGGAGCCCCACGGAGACCAGCCTGAACCTGAGGAAATCTAGACTTGCTTTATTTAGGGCTTTAGCACTGCAGAGAGGGCTTGGCAGTAAACATGTATCAAATGACTAAGAGTAGAAGACGATGACAAACTGTACACAAAATGAATAGAGTGGATCTGTTCAACTTTTCTGAGGGCTGGTATCCATTGGAAAATAATGTGGTTCAGGGACTGTGAGACAGACTACCACAAAGCGTACCCATCGTAACTCTGTAGTAACTCACAGGCTTCCGAATATCGCAGGGCTGGGACGATGGATGACTCAATGCCCAAAGATCCGAGCTAACTTGACACGCTACAACACAACTTCCCTCACGGCTTTTATCAAAATTTGCTTCACAAAGTTTCAGATTTTGCGTCAGTAATTTAAGTGCACGTAGACCAAAACTGTGTTGTAAACTGGCCATTTGAAACACCATCAGCATTTAATGCTACACCAACCCATTCAAGCGTAGCACCCAGACGTTGGGTACTGACCCTGTGTAGATGGAATCGGTCTCTATGAAAATTGCTTTTGAAAACTCGATTAAGTTCGCTTTTTAAAATTACACCAGTTAATATGTTTTCATATTTTATTGTCCAGAACGTAATTTAAGAGAGCATAGGTTAGCCCAATACCATACTGTTTTTTTCTCTCTACCAAAACAGATTTGGTTATAGCACGAGGCATTGCTTAAGAACTGAACCTTCCTGAAAGTCTTGAAAACACAAAAAGGGACAACTGAGTCCCTAGTTATAAATGTAAGCTTACTGAAGCGCCTTCTCTCTGTGTCAGGTGTGTGTGAGGTGAGATGAAATGGGGTTTAACGTCGTGTTTGAGAATACTTCGCTCATATGACGACGTGTATGCGTGTGCAGGTGTAGCTGCTTATACTAGCCCAGACTGAAGCTGGTTTTATAGTGCTAGCCCGCTGAGATACCATGCCGCAGTGAAGCATGAATACCCCACTCAGACACATTATACTGTCTCCAAGCCGAGCGGTCCTTGTTGTACCCATTAATGCCGAGCGCCAGGCAGGACCTTGTCTGTCGTACAGACCCTGAAGCAAATATATCCAAGAAAGCCCACGCAAGTCTAGAAAATGTGGCAAGTCTAGATTTCCACAACTTCTGAAAATGAAGAAAGTCTCTGGGCTCCTTTTGATAGTATTTATAATTTTAATTTAAAACGTTATATTTTCTGTAAAATATATTCATTTCAGAGGTTAGCTCTTAATCTAGGCAGGACCCAAGAAGTACAATATTTTAACGTCTTTGGTATGACGCGGCCGTGGATCGAACCCGCGACCTTCCGCTCTCCGGGCGGACGCTCTAACCACTACACCATGGTGGCGGTCACGTCAGATATGTGCATACTGGCCTTGGGAGATAAGCTGAGTTATTATTTTCATTTTTTATTTCGATTTCATAAACAACGTTACACAACCCGAATTTCCAGCGGAGGTAAACCATAGAATAGCCTACCCAACACTTCTCAACCAGCAGTTCGCGAAATTACGACTAACATAGCATAGTCACAGGACAGGCCACGATGTCTCAAGTCTATGTTATAATACGGGAGCTACAATCATTGTAGCGCAAAGATCGGATTGTACAAGTGTGGCTCTGGTCTCCCGGACGGATAAGATCGGGATGAAAAATCAGTATTAAAATGCAGAATCTGAACCAAATTTAGTACGGAATCCTTTTTGAAAGGCGTGGGAGCATTCCCTCGGTGACGAGAAATCAGATTATTTTTTAGTGGTCTAATACACATTTCAAATAATTTTTACCAGGAAACATTTACATCCCATGTGTATTGGGCACACAAGTGTTACAGTATGTGTGCGACGGCTATAGCTGGAGGCGATGGGCGTTGCCCTTTTCAAGAGGTGCTAATCTTATATAGAGTGTATCCAGTCCGGGTTTCCACATGAAAACGAGGGACTCATCCATGGGTTGCTGAGGACCAGATCTCTCCGGACTTTCACAGGAGTAGACCAGCTCGGGTTGCTGAGGGCCAGATCTTAATGAACCTTCACAGGAGGGGACAAGCATAGATTGCTGAGGACCTGACTACGAATTCTCACTTCGTTGAAATAGTGGTCAGCATCGCTTCAGCAAATAACATTTTCTGTATTATCATCATAATACCATCCTTAATATTTATTTGATGCGCTACATTGAAGTAGTGCATTAATATTTTTTATTTGCTAATTATAATTTTATCATTTCACAAAGAGATATGCTCATTTGGCTCCACTATTCACTTCGACAAAAACGAGAACTGTGGTTAGAGGGCGCTTTAGCTGCATTAGGGGCGGACATTACAAACGAATCGTCTAATGCATTTTTGTAAAGAAAATAAACCCTAAAATATCAACGCTGATCACGCTGGTAAGGTTTCAAACGTTTTTCAACACTCATGTTTGTTACAAAAAACATTGTTTTTCGTTGTCTCCAGATTAAAAATGACCTGCTAAGAAGACTTAAATGATTTCATGTAATACTAGTATATTTTCATTCAAAAAGTTCATCATTGTATTGACTGAATATGCATCCCTCTTACGCCGTGTTCATCACCTAAGCCTCGCAGAGTTATCTCCCTTTACAATCGGTGTTTCAAAATGTGTTAAGGCGTTTATCTGAAAGTATGACTAAATTCGATCATTTAATCGGTGTTTTTGAACTACCCAGAAACTGAAAAAGAACACAATATAGTGCCACTTAAGAGATAACATCACATGACTGTCAAATGAGGTAAACTTAAATTCGTGTTGTGTAATTATTTTGAGGATTTCTTTGAACCTTGCCTGTGTATGTGTGTGTGTGTGTGTGTGTGTGTGTGTGACCTCTTGAATAATTAAACTGCTCAAAAGACAGACGCCTAATTCCTTTATATATCACAAATTAATTATAGTTATGTGAAATAATAGAAGTTCTTTAACGTTTTTGAGTAGAATAATATAAAACATAGCCACGATGTGTTTATGGCCAGACAAACCTGCCAAATACAGCATGTAAAATGATGAGAGAAGCAAAACAGAGATGCACAATCAACATGGAGTTCATTAGTGACTCTAAAGTATTGTAATCCAACCAACAATATTATGTTATTCAAAAACATGCATCTATTAAATAAAAAATAATTTGAGCCCCGTACAATACTTAATTTCAGAAGCCGAGGCAAACTAGATTTTCCCAATTATTCTAAACTAGCTGGATAAATATTTTTGATTATTTTGCAGGTTCTGAGAGAGCGCCACGTTGTCCTATGATGCAGAAGGGTGTGTCACGCTTAGAAACAGCGTTAGAAAGACATATAGGTATATAGACCCTACCCCGCGTGTCACGCTTAGAAACAGCGTTAGAAAGACATATAGGTATATAGACCCTACCCTAGTACTAAATAAAAGGATCCTTTTATTTAGTACTAGGGTATGGTCTATATACCTATATGTCTTTCTAACGCTGTTTCTAAGCGTGACACACCCCTGTGCTATGATGTGCATGTACGCCGACCACATGCAACCAATACGTCACCTAAACCATCATTGATCTCTGTCTGAACAAACACACCTGACAATATCATATATCTCACGCAGACCGACATGAACAATTATGTATTTTCATGAAATCCTCCACATCAACCCACATTTAACAGGAGCTAATATCACCAACCGTTGCCTGTTAATGTCAAGTCAATATTGAACAGTAAAGTGTAAACATGTCATTATTCCCGCGACCTTCCCTAACTGTCTTGCGACACGTAGGTACGTCATCAGTCGTGGTTGAATTCACGCGTGGCTTTGTCCAAGGTCTCGACAACTCATATCTCGCTGCCAATGCAAATATACACGCTGGCGTTGTGTCACTGCAACGATTCAATGGCGCCGTGTCCGTCAAAGCGTGATCAATTGCTTTATTGCTCTCTCTCCCCTCTCTCTTATTATTATTTTACAGATTAATATTATGATTATGATTATTGGTAGTAGTTTTAGTAGTAGTAGACGACTTAGCAGAAGCAGCAGTAGTAGTAGTAGCAGTCGTAGTATAAAAATATAGCCATATTTGTTCAGAGTATTTGTGTTGGTTACAGGAGGGGCCTACTAACATAAATTCCCAAATTGTATGAAACATGTTCTTAAACTTCATGGGTCGAGAACGCAGAGATTAAAAAAATTATAATTCACAGCCCCGATACCTACAGGGACCTATTGCCAAATATAGTCATTTTACGAAACTTCACATGTCATGTAGAGTTGTGTCCCCTGTAATATTGTTAGTTTGGCAAAAACAGAATTGTTCAAAAGTCGCAAACTGGAGTAGCCATCAATAACGTGGTCATTATTTTCACCACAAAAAAATTAACGTTATTATTAATATTATATTCTCAACTATCAATGATTAATTCCTTAGCGAAAAATGAAGGCTTCGTAAATTTACATTTCTCCACTATATCTGTCACAAATTATGCATTTTATTGATTTTAACATTAATAGCTTTCCTGTATTCATAAAACAATATAACCACATTAAAAACAAGAATTTTAAATGCGTAAATATAGTATAGCAACATGTATAGTGGCGTTAATTGTTTTTATAAATTCTATTTATGGTTTATATTTAAATCAATAACCATATACAAGCAAATTAAAGCTTATGTATATCTTAAAAAAATTCTATGTTGGCGTCTCCGCTCTCCAGCTCCATGCTAGTCACTATGCTAGATGTGGCGTTTTCTGAGCGAAAATAACTTCCTTGGACGTAGTAGAGGGACTATATTCCTTCGTTTCTACGTGTTAGGAAACATTTCTACCAACCGTTAAACGAGAGTGACAACTGCGATGGTCCGTTAAGATGTAATAGAATCAACTGGGTGTTTAGGCCACGTTCGAAACAATTGTGCTGAAAATCCGGAAACGTGAAGAAAGAGAAGCTGGCGGGCAGTGACACAAACAATAGCTACATATATAATAATAGATAACTATTCTGTCAACCAGTCCCTGAACCATATTTATTTTCCCTTCAGTCGAGCTTTTATTGTAATCCCAAATGAAGCAAGTCTAGATTTTCCTCAAGTTTGTTTCTATCAAAATTATATATGTTGCAGAGACTAGGTGTTTGTCAGGGGCTTCCATATTGTTACTTATCGGTTTTCATTGAGTCTTCTATATCGATTATTTTAAGAACTACATTATAGATGTTGAGATGTTTACCTTCGTCTTGTCCGGACTTTTTATGATATATAGGCTTGCAAAATACAGTGTCTATTTATGATACGATACGGAAAGGCATTCGGATAATAACTGCACAGGGAAGTAGTAAAATGTAACAGATTTGGGAAAACACTTTCCCAGTAGATGATTCTCACTGACAGTTGTCAGACTTCCATTTTTTGTGGATGCTGCTATGCTTGAGTGGTTAGATCGCTGACTTCGTTTGCTGGCGATCAGGTGCCTTACTCTGAAAGTGTGACTCAACCCCGCAAAAGTACAAGAATCTGTACTTCTCTGAGAAAGCGTAATTTATAACACTTTTCATTCGGCTAATCATCTCAATGTCTGTCACGCCTTCCATATACATTGCACAACCCAATTCGGTGCTCATGATGTTGATCACTGGATTGTGACTCGATTATTTACAGAGCGCCGCCATAAAGTTCGAATGGAGCGTTAAACAATATACAAACAAAGGAAAACAAACAAGAATGCATCACATCTTGGTGCTGCCGGGTAGGTTCTGCTCATGCTGTTGATCACTGGATTGTATGGTACAAACTCGATTGTTTACAGACCGCCGCCATATAGCTGGAATATTGCTGAGTACGATGTAAAACAAAACAAACAAACACACATATACATTACAGGAAATTATAACCACACTGAAAACCATAACATTAGACCCCACAAATTTAAAACACCACACATGGAGGTTCTTGAGAAGCATTTAGAAGTTGGTGTTCAAGTAAAACGCAAATATTATGGATGACAATTCCGAAATAAGACAATTATAACCGCTGAACAGGGATTAAGGAGTGTACCTGTCCAGTACCTGGGAAGTCAGTTAGCTCATTACTGGCTTCTGCTCACATCTGCTAATCACTTGTACAAACTCTTCTCTTGTATAAACAATGCCCATCATCTGTACATCTCACGCTTTCATCTCCCGTTTTCTTATCCAATGTATTGTATATACATGCAACACTGGCATCTTGTACATTTAGTATATATACTCGTTGATGTATCTTGTTTGTTACAATTCACCTGACGAAGGGGTAAGGAACAACCAAGAAATGTTGTGATATACAATAAAGAAGAAGTTGTCATCCATAATATTTGCGTTTAACCACAACTGGACATACACTTGTTACATGTAAACAGCCCTGTTATGGTCCATGGCAATGAAAAATGACATACTTGCATTTGCAAGCGATATTGATATTGGAGAGGATTGTAGTCATAAATTTGATAAACGATGTTTGCAAACTGTTGTCGGACAACGTATTAGGGAAGAGACGCATATGACTGCATGATAACGTTGGACATCGCGCCCAAAAGACCAGGCAAAGTAAGGACTGAGATTGACCGAATTCACCTACTATTCTGAAAACTTTTACATTTACAGGGATTGTCTAGGAGAGTTTTCTTCTCGATCAGAAAGTACGACATATTCTATAAAATGTCCGTGGATAAAATGAGTGGTTTTATTCGTTGGTTGGGTGAAATTCTTCACGCTTAGAAAATCCGCTACATCCTATGAGATGTCCACGGGTGGAATTATTTGTGAGATTCTTTGAAGTTCCCGGAATTCATGGATATCCTGCGGAAGAAGGCAAGTGGATGGCTACAGGTCAGATAAGCCGATATTTCTGACTGGGGACATCAAAATGGGAATCGAAGACTGGCTTCCAGACAAACTTGTTAGTTCCTTCGGCTGTCTTCGGCCTCCGATGTACAAAAGTTAATGGACTGTGACATAGCTGGAGAAGTGTTTGCGTCTATGCATATGAGAATCACGACCGTTATTATCATACGCGAATCGATAATTACAAGAGGGAATCACACGGATTCCATCTCTCAACGAATGTGTTTGCTTGAAACTAAAACATATCCTGGACTGCCCACCATATGCAAAGTTCTTGGATTCGTTATTCCCTTCAATTAACGAAACAGGACAAACTACCTTTTGTACGACTTAAGACCCTCGTGAGATATAAATTGACTATATTATCTGAAGAATCATCGTTATTTGAACGAGCAAATATTTCATATCTTATTTGTGTCCTGTTTTCACTATATTGGGCATGTGACAAACATATTTTTGGTTCATGGTGTGTGTAAAAAGTTGAAAGACCAAATTTCATTGGATGAAATCATTTCACATCAGTGATTAATAATTATAGCTAAATTCGTGAGAAGCAAGAAACGTCTCTGAATCAATGATGTACGGAATAGTAAGAGTTATGTCCCTTAGTCTAACGCCACTGTTCACACTGTTTGGCGTCGTTGGCAACATGACGTCGCTACTGTTGCTGTACCCAGGAATGTATTTCACCGAAATCGGAACAATGGTCCAAATGTACTTCTCCTGTCTAACGGTTTCAGACACAGCTTCCCTCGTGCTGTCCTCATCACGTGACTTCTTACGTCACGCCTTCAACGTGAACATAATGGCGGAGATAGATTGCAGCGTGTATCTGTTTGTCCACTTCGTAATCAATGATTTCGGAGCGTGTTTGCTGATCATCCTTTCCGCTGACAGATACCTGCATGCTTACCATCAATCAGCGTCGGTGAAAATGATTAATGAAATATCAGCCAAGTTTACCCTTCTCCTTTGTGGTGTACTGGTGCTTGCTATTAATTTCCCGATCGTGTTCGTCTTTGATTCCATTGAATCCAACAGCACTGACAGACTCGCCGAATGTTTACCTTCGCCAAATCATCCATTTTTCAAATCGGACTGGCTTGTGTTCCAAGGTGTATTCAATTACCTCATTCCGTCATTCGCCGCTATGTGTTTTATAGCCTGTTTGGTCTATTCCAACATTAAAAACAATCTGAACAATACAAGGAAGCCATCATCTGGGACAACGGCAGCGACTGTTGGGAAGCTGGTGCTATTCACAATGACGCAGTTACCGCTAAATATTCTACTGTTTACCAACCCTGGCGGATTTGTTCCCTTGTTTCACGAGGATGTTCCGCGTTCACTGACGTTTGCCCTTGCGCAGTACGTGTCCTATCTGAACTCATGTCTGAACGTTGTGGTGTTCAGTCTGGCTTGGCGGGACTTCCGAAAAGCACTGAAACGAAAGTTCTTTTGCTTGAGAAGGAGGAGAGATAGAGTGTCGATTTTGGAGAGGGAAACTAGATTTTAGAAGCTAGATTGTCAGTGCGCATAGAAGGACTAACCCGTCGTAAAACCGCATATGACTGTGTCGAGAATGCGGATTCTGGGAAAACCAGTTTAATGGACATTCTTCTGGGCAGTGACAGAAGGATTTTGAAATGAGGCAACTTGATGTTTGATTAAATTCTATTCATCTAGCTTAAATATATATTATGGTGATTTCATTGGAAATATCTTTATGATACGGATAGAGTTAAAAGATTAGATTTAGAAACAGAACAGTCATCTTGAGGTTAGGAATGTTAGATGTGCTCTCATCCTGAAGTAACCGCCTCCGTGGTGTAGTGGTTAGAGCTTCCGCCCGGAGAGCAGAAGGTCGCGGGTTCGATCCCCGACAGCGTCATACCAAAAGACGTTAAAATATGGTACTTGTTGGTCCCTGCCTGGCGCTCGGCATTAATGGGTACAACAAGGACTGGTCGGCTCGGAGTCAGTATAATGTGTCTGAGTGGGGTATTTATGCTTCACTGCGGCATGGTATCTCAGTGGGCTAGCACTATAAACCCAGCTTAAGTCTGGGCTAGTACAAGCAGTCGCACATACACATGCACACGCATGCACGTCGTCATATGAGCGAAATGTTCTCAAGCACGACGTTAAACCCAATTTCGCCTCACCCCACCTCATCCTGATGTTGAGTAGTACTAAGAACTAAGGCGCTAAGACGCATTGTATGCAGTGTGGTGTTATATGATACATTCACTTTCCATATCACCGTGACTCGTTTTTAAGTAGGAAACGCAATCTTTCTCTGTTGATAATTTTATTTTCCACGGTCTGCGATTTGTCAATGCTTGGCTAGTAAACCGTCTCGTGTGTGCGTCCGTGCGTGCGTTTGAGTCTTTGATGAACAACAACAGCAAAAAGATGAACGCAATTGTGTTTCACACTACGTAGATTTAATATGCAGGTGTACACTGATTTACATTTTTACATTACATAAGAGCACATTAGGTATAAATGACATATTTGTTCGCTATTGAAGTACAATTATACCAGTGTTTTAATGGCCAGGTCGCAGCCCTGTTCATATGGCCTCAACAAATGTGTCCTTCACGCCCGCTGTTGAAGATAATGAAGTTACTCTGCACTTGGCGCCATAGTTTCTGCTGGCTGTAAGCACACAAAAGAACCCAACTGAATGAACACAGAGATAAGGATATATATAATGTTCTACTGACCTATAATTTGCGTATTAAACTAAGTGAGTGACTGAGTTTAGTTTTACGCCGCACTCAGCAATATTCCAGCTATATGGCGGCGGTCTGTAAATAATCGAGTCTGGACCAGACAATCCAGTGATCAACAGCATGAGCATCGATCTGCACAATTGGGAACCGATGACATGTGTCAACCAAGTCAGCGAGCCTGACCACCCGATCCCGTTAGTCGCCTTTTATGACAAGAATATCCAACTAAGTGTAAATCTTATTTTGAAAGCTATTCTGGATCAGCAGATGCTACACTCGACATAAACAAGATATATACTAACAGGCTTTTGCGAGACGCAGACCCATGGAATTATTAACAAGATATTAGTTCCTGGATGCCCCAAATTTTGTATTGCGTAAAACACTGATGTCTATCAGCTGGATTTGCTTAGGATGACAAGTCTACCTATTTGCCAT